CCTAGCTTCCTCTAAGAACTTTTTAGAGACCCTCGGATCCTCATAATACTCATTTAAACCAATCTTTATTGGAATGAATTGCTTGAACCCCAACTCGCCTTAAAAACATATTTGGACGAGTAACTAATGTAGCAACGAGCCCCAATTAGTGGCACCCAAGGAAATTTACCACAAAAGGTCGTGTAACTCCAAAAACGAGCATATCGAGATCTCCAATGAAATTCGACTTTTGTAAACTGAAGAATAATTCCTCTCATATCGTTTTACCTAACTTGTTGAGGGCGTGACAAGCAAAATTCTCCAACTTAGAATGCAAGTGCTATGGGGCGCGAAAAATACCGGAGGTTTCCCCAGTCACCATATGGCTCGGATTCCAAACAAACAACAATCGCACACAACACCTCAAATGCCCATCTTTTCTTCGGTAGAAATTTAATGAAGAGAGGGTTTTAGCTAGGATTGCTTGCAGTGGGATTAACCTTCGGAGATACCATACTTTTAAATACGTTGATCGCCTCTACATCGATCATGCTCCCGTCGATGGTAATAACACCAATCCATATATTGCTAGGGCCAAGATTCGAAATCTAATTTGGTTATTAGGATATTGTAAATGCTTCATGAATTCTACTTGAAGGATGTCCCAAAACCAACCTTGAGAGTTTTCCCTTTGGGTTAGTTGCTTCTTGGCTAAAGTGGTATTGGTCCCAATCAACCATGCAAAGTTTGATGGAGCATGTTCAGGCGGACTATAGAAGTAGAAGGCCTCTATTTAGGAAATGCTAGCGAGCCTCATATTCCTCAAGTGTAGGTGACAGTGTCTACGCTCCCAAAGGTAAAACAATGATAATCTGGATCCCAATGGCCTATCATGGCTTGAAAGTATGCGATCCGAGCCTTGATCTTGAGCGGATAAGCTATGTCCTCATATGTTTTTTGAAAATCAAGTTGGTCTTTAGAAGTGAGCATCTCCCAACAACCGAGAAGTGGACCGGTGTTGGCCATCCCGTCGGCCAACTTAATCCTATTTGGTAGTTTCGACATGAAATTCGAAGACGGACAATCTCCTTCCTCATTTTGGACCCACTCGGATCCGACCCTAAAATCCTTGACCTCATTTCGATTTCTTCGTCATGATTTAATATGAAAGATAACCTCGTAAAACCAAGGGTTAGTATCACCATCGGATGATAATAATTCATGCCTTAATTAGGTCAATCCTAACGGATAAGATCTAGCTTTTCTATGATTGGGCAAAATTTGACTAGTCCTAAAGATTTTTCAAGCCTCTAGATCGCCTAAATTACCGGTGGGGTAATCCAACCTCTAACCTTATACGTTGGCGGGTAGGGGAAGGTTATTCTACCATTTCCAATGTATAGGGTGAGTTTCGATCTAAAGGAGAGTTTGGAAGAGCATCGGTAGACTTTCATCATACTCGCCTCCAAATCCCTCTATCTAATTTCTATTAGGGTTCAGCTCGGGTCTAGAGCTTTTCGGGGTTTCCTTTGTGGTGTGTGCAACGGTTAAAAGAAAAAGCATTCAACCCAATTCAAAATAAACGTGCAGCAAAAAGAAAAAAGAAATAAACGACAAAAATTTAAATATATACACAAATAAATAAATAAATAAAATTCAGAAAATAAAATGACCAAAAATAAACATAGGAGATAAATTAAAAACTAAACCTATGGCCTAACTCTAGTCTCCCTAGTGGAGTCACCATTCCGTCGCTACACGACGTTGGACGGGACCCCCCAAAAGAAAAATTAATTGTTTGGGCGTTAATTAATTACAAAATTATTTACGGAGTTTTAGAGTCACCACTTAGTATTTCGGGAACTAGGAACCTAAAAGTAGCACTAGTTCGGAGATTCCTAAGGTAAGGAGTTGGTTACGCTTTTAGGAAGATTTTTAATCACCTAAAAGCGCCATTTTCGAAAAAAGGTACCATGCACGGTTTAGTCATAAATTATCTCCTAAAAATCCATGTCAAGATATTTTCTAATTTTTAAACTTCTATTTTTTTTAGACTAAACAATTTTTTTTAGTTTTGGGCGTGACATCATATTGAAACGATTGTCGGTTCCCTTCGTTGGGTGACACGTCGATTCAAACATCGGAACCACTAAAAGCCTTGACACAACCGACGTGTCGGAGGACGTCTTGATTAAAAGGTTATTTTTTTTCTTTCGTGTGGCATCGGTCCCTATCGGATAGGAGACTTCGTCAAAATTTATATATATATTTTCTAGCAATATATATTAAAGAAAAGAAAAAAATTGAAATAAAAATTCTAAATAAAGAAAAGCTACAAGAAATAAAATAAGCAGGCTAGAAAAAAAATAAAATAAAATACAAAATAAAAAAATTATTCTATATAAGCGGGTAAAAAATAAATGACAAGGAAAGTAATAATAATAAAAAATCCTATACCTAAAACATTCACCTACCACTTTTATTTTTTATTTTTTTTTACCCATCCCTTTTTTTTCTTTTTGACCTATTTTTTTATTCCCTAATTCTATTTTTTATTTATTTATTTTTTTTAAGGTGGGCTATGAGCTGGGCCTCCCTTTTTTTTTTTTGGGAGAAAGAGTGCGGGCTGGGCTGATTTTTTTTTTTTTTGGCATCGGGTCAGATGGACTAAAATCGATCCGGCCCAGCGCGTTTTCTTTTCCCTTTTTCGTCGTCGGGCTTACACCGGAGACATGCCCGTGTAACCCTTTTTTTTTTACTTTTCGGATCAAATCAAAAGTTTCCCAGTTTTAAACTTTCTCTCTCCTATTCTTCGTGTTCTTCATTTTCTCTCTCTAGTTCTTCAAGTTTTTCGAAAATTAAAGACTCTTTTTTCAAACAAGAAATTCAATCACACACACCACAATTCAAAACAAGAAATAAATAACAAGTAAACATCTGAAATTAAAACGTAAAACGAATAACGAAATAAAAAAAAGAGGGAATCGAATTTAGGGACTCACCTAGAAAACTTCCGAAGACCCAAGATGAACCCGGAAAAATTAAACGAAAAACCCAAAAATGCAGCACCACGAGTGCTTGTTTCTCACGAATTGATTGAAACCTTGCTCTCGATTTCTTTTCCTCTACCTTAACGAACCAAAAGCTTCCTCGAATCAAAACTAAAGACGTTTCAAACTTGTTATGGGTTGAAGAACACAAACCCAAAATAAGAACTTTAAACCCAGAACCCGAAACCCAAAAAACTTAGTCGCCAAAAATTCAAATTAAATCTTTTGCTTTCGATTTTTGAACTCTCTCTACCTAGAATTGTTCGCCAAAAATCCCCCTATTTCGTGAAATTCAAACGTTTTATAGCCAACAAATTTCCTAAAATTGAAACGAAATCTCCGAATTTTATGTCAAAAAATTTTCCTCTTTAATTCATGATTAATTGTGAAATCAAAACGGGAAATTCTCATTGATTCTCGTTAGCGTTGGATTTTGGCAACAAAATCCGTGATTAATACACAATCAAAAACAAGAAATTCATGGAGGATTTGGGCGATTCTCCCAAAGATTTTTGGAGAGAATTTGCCTTGGAGCGGACGACGAGTCGTTTGCTCCATTTTTGTCCTGTCGTTCGCTCCAAACTTTTAGTTTGGTCCTCGCGTTTCAATTTTAGCAATTACGCCCCTTTGCGAAATAATTTCAATACAATCTCAACAATTAAGTCCCCGGAGGTGCAATTTAAGGCCTAAACTTTTTAATTGACTCGATTACACCCCTAATTACTTTAATTGTATCCCTAAATGAATTTTTTTATTTTTTCATCATTTTTTTCTTTTTCCTTAATAAACTTCAAACTAAAAACAAAAACAAAAAAAAATAAATGAAATAAAAAATGAAATAAACAAAATACAAAAAAAAAAAAATACAAAATACAAAAAAAAAAAATTGGGTTATTAGAATGACAACCTTTCTACTTAAACTTTTGGAAGTTTTTAAACCTTTCATCTATTTTCGTCACGGAAGTCTTAATTTAACTCACGCTGTCAGTTAATCAATCATTGATCAATGGAGTTTGGAGACGCAGTCATTCTAAAGATCATCAAATATAAATACCATGGCAATTTGTACGTTTTAATTTTATTGTTTTTTGAGGTTAGGTATAGTATCTTTTGGTCAATGTTTATGACCAACACAATTAATGGATGGATATTCAAACCTAATAACTCAAATAAAATCTCTTTTTTTTTTTTTTTTTTTTTTTTTTTAAATTTCGGTCAAGAGCATTGATCCAAAAAAAGAAAAAAAAATCTAAAAATCATTGTAAATGTAAATTTCAACACAAATTTAATGATATTTTCCCTAACATGATTCAAATATATAATAATTGTCAATATTTTTCTCTTTTTCCTTTTAATTCAGAATATTTATTTTTCTTATTTTATTAATATTTTTTTAGGAGATGATCCCAAGCAAGTTTCTCCTTAATTGAGAAGATATGGACCAAACTGGATGAATCGATAAAGACTGTTAATTTCATTAGTTTTATTGATCATTTCTAGTCAAATTTCATAGTGATTGTAACAAAAAAGTCTATTTCTCTCTTTATATTTCATATGATGCATAAAATTCATTCAAATACGAAGGAAATTGACAAAAAAAAAAAAAAGTGAAGAAATTGACTTTTCACCGTAAATACAAGGTCTTGACATTTTTACTGTTTTTTTATTTTTTAATAAGAGAATAATATATATTTTTTTAATATTCAATAGTAAAAAGGTTTTCGGATCAGATTTTGCATATATCGAGAGTAACTCTTTCTTAAACATGGATATAAAAATCGAACTCTAAATCTAACTTACAAATCAATCAATAATATTTGCTTACAGTAGACTATCATCTTCTTTTAAGGCACAACATTAAGTTAGGATACATCAATCCCAACATGAACTTTCTGCAAGCCCGCCTGCAAGTATTCCTTATCAATTCAATCAATGGCAGAGTTGGGATTAACACCCACCAACCAGCGCAAGATGGAGCACGAAAGGCAGAACAAAGTAAGACCACATACAAATACAAATAAAGAAGTTCAACTTATTGAGTCTCAACCCAAAGTATTGAACATTCATGCAACCTTGCAGGTTAGCTGTAAGGTGGATTTTTTATTTTATTTTATTTTTTGGTTACAAAGAAGAAGCCGAGGAATTTTTGAGAGGAAAAATATTAATGCCAGTTGAGTACTTAAAATCATTAAGGTGGTTATTACCCAAAACCTAAGAAATACGTAAAGAATATTTACGCACAAAAAGGCTCTATCCAATGCCTATATGTATTGCTATATTACATATTCACTTAAAGCACCAGCCTTGATGGTGACGTCTAACTTTAACAGTCTCAAGTTAGCAATTTCCTGCAATTGAATTGCCGACCACGTTGAAGTACATACTGCCTCCTCCCTGAGGTGCACATTGAAGGCATTAGTAATTGATTAATCGCCTGATTCCTCATCAGGCTGAAGGAAAGGAATACATAGCTGGAGAGCTAACCAAGCCCACGCTCATGCTTCAAATATGAGCAAAATTTAGATTAAATCCCAAGCTTAACAAGCGTTTTAAAAATCGAAAGAGAAACTTAATTACCGATTGTAACAGTTGACCTGCAGCTTGTTCAATTCTATATAAAGCACCAACAGAAGTTGAGTTCTTGCATCACTTGGTCTATTTTCTTTTCTTCTTAAGCATATCACTAAAAGCAATCATGAAGATCTTAAGTAGCATTTCCATTTTCATCGTTCTGTTAATCTTTGTTTCAGGATTCATGAGAGCAAAAGCAGCAGTAGGATCTGTCTACTGCTACACTCCAGGAACCAGATGCTTTGGACAAAATGTAACTTGCCCTTTAGAATGCCCGAGCACTTACTCAGATAACCCCAAAGAAAAAGTTTGCCATGTTGACTGCAATTCTCCACATTGCAGTTCCCAGTGCAAGCGTAAGATATATAACCAACTTCTTTTCATTCAATTCTATTCTCCTAAGTACTAAATATGTTCGATAGCTAAAATAGCAATAACAATGATGTTGTCAGGATTAAAATACGTTTTTGTATGATTCGACAGTTAGGATGTTTTTATCAAGTGGCTGTCAATTTGGAAAATTTGGTTGTGGAAACTAATGTTACTGAAGCAAGTTTCTTATTTTCTTCAGATCGCAAAGCAAACTGTGAAGCCCCAGGATCAGCATGCTATGATCCTCGTTTCATTGGTGCTGATGGCATTGTCTTCTATTTCCATGGAAAGAGCAATGAGCACTTCAGCTTAGTCTCTGATTTTGATCTACAAATCAACAGCCGCTTCATTGGTCACAGGCCAGCTGGCCGACCCCGGGATTTCACTTGGATTCAAGCCCTCGGAATCCTTTTCAACTCTCAAACCTTCTCTCTTGAGGCCACTAAAGCTGCAACTTGGGACAGTGAAGTTGACCATCTAAAGTTCACTTACAATGGGCAAGATTTGGTCATACCTGAAGGCTCTCTCTCCACCTGGTACTCTCCAGAGAAAAATGTGAAAGTAGAGAGAGTAACAAAGAAGAACAGTGCCATTATCACCTTGAAGGATAGAGCAGAGATTTTGGTCAATGTGGTTCCAGTGACTAAAGAAGATGATAAAATCCATAACTATCAAGTGCCTGCTAATGACTGCTTCGTCCACTTGGAGGTGCAGTTTAAGTTCTTTCACCTGTCCTCAAAAGTTGATGGAGTACTTGGCAGGACTTACATGCCTGATTTTGAGAACCCAGCAAAGCCTGGTGTGGCAATGCCAGTTTTGGGAGGTGAAGACAAGTACAGAACCCCTTCCCTTTTCTCTGCTAATTGCAACTCCTGCATATTCTCTCCAGAAAGCAGTTCAAATCAAGAGTCTTCCACCGTCATGAACTATGGCACTCTAGACTGCGCCAAGGGGGCTTCTGCAGGATATGGCATTGTTTGCAGAAAGTAAATGCTGCGATAATTTGTGGCTCTCCTAATGAATAACAATAGCAGCTTATGTAGCTTCAAACTTAACGGTGGCTGTCAAGTGCTGGCTGTCAGTGTCTGTGATTTAATAAGTGATATTGCAAGGGCTTTTCTTGCTATTCATTGTTATGTTCTTTTGACGTATGGTGTGTCCATGGTTTGGGGTTGCTGATCATCCATGACAAACTATGACACCCTGCTACTTCAAAACTAGTGATTTTGTTGTATGGTCAAATCATTTATCTTTTTTCAAACACGAACTTGTAAATTGTAATATTATGTCGGTGATGCTATTGAAATAGAATGATGTTCTGCGTGTTCATATATATTTGTTATAGTTTTTCAAGGCATGGAAACTTTAGAACTTCGAAGAATATAAAGACTTGGAAAATTTAAAACTTCGAAGATTAGTACTGAGGATCAATACATCAAAATGGAATGCCCTGCAGCATTGAGTTTAGATTTATCAATCACAACAAGAACTTTTATGCAAGCCCATCAACAACCATTTCTTATCCATTCAATCAATGGCAGAGTTGGGATTAGACTCCAATCAGTCCAAGATGTAGCACGTAAGGCAGAACAAAGTTAAACCACATACAAGTAAAGTGAAAGCGTTTGAGGCTACAAATTTTCTATTGTATCCCTATAACCATTTATTATAATTAGTATTTACTAGTTAAATCCCCACACTATGTCGTAATTAAATAACCGTTACACATCTAGGGTTAACGATTCGCATGGTGTGGTGTAAGTAAAAATAATACCACATACAAGTAAACTGAAAGAGTTTGTGGCTACAAATTTTCTATTGTATTCCCATAATGAGCCATTACAATTATTATTTACTAGTTAGATACCGACGCTACGTTTACGTCGGACAACCGTTACATACGTAGAGTTAACGATTCGTATGGTGTGATGTGAGTAAAAATCTTGTTTCGGTGATTAAGGTAAATTAAATCTATATATTAAGTAAAATTATTTGATTTATATATATTTATTAACAAAATAATTACTAATATTAGAATAAAAATAAGTATTTGAATAATTGAAAGGTTCTTTTAAAACATTATTTAAATTATTTTATTTAAAAATACATACTTTAGAACATGAAAAAAAATAAAAATCAATAATTGGTGTTATGTGTGCGGATAAATAGTTAATTTCTAACAAAACTAATGATTCATGTATATATATACTCATCTAACTTGTATGAAATATATCGAAGTAAATAGATTAATTTCTAATAAAACTAATGATTCATGTATATCTACCCACCTAAATTGTATGAGATATATTGAAGTGAATAGGTTAAAATAAAAACTACTACAAAGCTGATTCCAATAACTTCTAATTATATATATAAGCAAATAAAACCTATGAATTTTCTTTAAAATAATTATTAATTTTTTTTAAAAAAATTAGTCAATTATCAAAAACACACTTTTATTCTCTCTCTCTCTCTCTCTCTCTCAAAACTACTATAAAATTGATTCGATAAATTCTAATTATATATGTGTGCAACTATGCTACTCTCATATAAAAATCATAAAAATAATCCATTGTATAAATTATAATATTATATTTTAAAAAATAAAACACTTACGTTCTAAAATTTTATTCTACAATCCATATATAGATATATATAACCAAAATTATTAACAAACAAAATTATATCAAAAAAATTTAAAAATTAATGTGATGAAAATTTTAATAAGAAACAAATAATTGAAAAAATAAATTTTATATAATAAGAGTAATATAATCGGATATCTATGTTCAAACAAAAATTTAAAAAATATCATATATATCCTATCACATTCAAACTATACGTAAAACTAAAAAAAATAAAAATAAAGATCTATTTTTTATAATTTTCATACCAAATTCCATGATAAAAAAATATAAAAATAAATTATTAGAAGAAAAAGAAAAAGAAAAAAAAAAAGGTCGGGCTTGGGCACTTGGGCTACTTCGCAGGCTCGTGTGCGAGGCTAGTTTGGTCGAATGGGGATTATGAGGCCAAGCTAGCCTAGTAAGTCGAGGCTTGTGTGTGTCGGGGCAAGGCTGCTCGGGCTTGCAATGCAAGGCGGCTTGGGCTTGCTTCTCCGGGCCTCGGCTATTGGCTAGGAAACAAAAAAAAAAAAAAAAAAAAAAAAAAACAAAACAAAACAAAAGAACCGAAATCGACAACTTTCAACGAACTCGAGGTCGTCGGAAGTTTCGTTAACAATTCGAGGGTCAAGTTTTAAATCCCTAGAAATTCAGTTTTGACATCTTTTTATTTCTCCAAACACCTCTAAATGATTGAAATAAAGTCAATAAATACATTTAAAACCTTAAAAATCATTTTAATGTACATCAAGACAAAAAAAAAAAAAAACATAATCAAATCGATTTTTTTCCTTCCTTTTTTGGCTTTGATCTACCTCATTTAATTATTTAATGCCTTGAAGGACAAAATCATCTCTCAAAAAAAAATCTAATGGATTTTCATCGGCTAAAATGGCCTAAATAAGCTTGGTCGACGATATCTCTCTCTCTTCTCTCGTCTCTCTCTTCTTCCATATCTACTCTCTCTATACCTAGGGATCAAAATGTATCAATAAATGAAGATGTGAATTGAAATATTTGTTCAAAAATATCAAGAATCAAAGTGTAATAAGTTGTATAATTTTCATAAAAAAATCTCAATTCTTATTATCGCCCACCAAAGTTCAAAAAATCATAAAAAAACATTCTTATGTCCAAAGTGTAAATGATTCTAGAGCTACAATAAATGAATAGTGACAAAAATCTCAATTCTTTTAGTTTCTTTAGTAATACATATGTAATGTCCTCTAAAGCTAAAGGAGATTTAGCAATCCGAATCTTATCTTTTAGACCGGTAAATTGTGTCGTAGAAAAAGACCATGATTGATAGTCCCTAACATATGCTTAAGTATACATTTGGCGACCTTGAGATGAACAACGGTAGGAGCACTCATGAATTGACAAAAAGAGTTCACAACAAAAGCAATATTAGGATGTGTAATGGTCAAATATTTTAGAACACTAACAAGCATATGAAAACTAATAGGATTAGGGAGAATCGACCTTCGAGTACAAGCATCTTTACTTCTTGAAATTAGAGTGGAGAGCAACTTACAATTGAGCATATCGAGACGTTTCAACAAGTCTCTCCCATACTTGGGTTGATATAGGTGAAAACTTTTAGAGGATCAAACAACCTATATACTAAGGAGGAAGTGGAAGGGATCAATATTTGTCATAGCAAACCGAGATTTCAAAGTAGAAATGAAATTAAACATAAATTATCTTAAAAAGTAGTCGGGATGATATCATCAAGATAGAGTAGTAAAATCTAGTTTTCTAGTTGGATTTAATCACAAACATAGAATGATTAGAGGAGCTACTTTTGAAGCCATAAGGAAAAAAAAATGCTAAAATGCATGTACCGAGTTCTCGAAGCTTATTTAATACCATATAGAGCTTAGTACAATTTGCAATTAAAAAATGAGAATCAATAAACCAACTTGTTGAATCATATACACATCTTCATTAAGTAAGTAATGAAGAAAGATTTTCTTAATATCCAATTGACGTATAAACCAACCATGAAGTAATGTATGAGTAAGAACCAAAAGAATAGTAAAATGATACATAATTAGGCTAAAAATTTCACCATAGCCAATACCTTATTATTTTCTATAACCCTTGGCAACCAAACCAGCTTTATAGTGGGCAATAAACCCATTTGAAATGTTGCTTGATCTTATTAATCCATCCGGAGCCAACCAAATTCATAAGAATGAGCATTCTTTTATATATATATATATATCAATTTTTGATTAACCAAACCACCAAACACATAAATCAAATCCAAACTCAATTGAAATTCAGTATTTTTGGTTTTAAAAACCACAATTTTGATTTTGGTTTTTGATTTTTTTTAAAAATATATTTTTTTGATTCTGATTTTTTTTCCAATTATGAAAATGACTTTGGCTTGTTTAAAAAAGGAAGATTTACTAGGCTATACTTGCAATAAAGATGTCAAACGAGTTGTTTCATATAGCTATTGGAGCAATCGAAACATTATTATCGCATCATTAATTTGCTCTTTACACTTATTTATTTATTGATGAATCAAAGAATTTCATACTTCTAAACCAATTAAAAAAATAAGGAAAACTTGTTTACAAGACTTAATCAGTACTCACAACAAAAATATCACCAATCACAAAATATTATCAACTTGGGATTATTGATTACTTCTTGTAGAATTTTTATGCATTCGTAAAATTACTATCAAGAAACTAAGAAGTAGCCAAGCATTGGACTACAACCCCATCCAACCCATTAATCACCATAAACCAAAATTTTTGTTTGTTTGTTTAAATGAATCAAAATATTTAAAAACTAGAATAAATTATGTTTGTTTCTTTTTTAATTTTGATTAAAAACCAATCCAAAATTAATATTTCAATTTGGATTTTTTTTTATTAAAATCGAATAGCATGCACCTCTACAAAGTTATATATAGATTGATGAAAAGGAACTAAAGACTAGTGCTTATTAGTTATCAAATATTAAAGCCACTAGTCATGGCATGTTTCTATCGAACAATATGAATTGCTTGTGAATAATGAGTAGGCTCAAGAGAAAGGAAGTTGATAATAGTCGAGGCTAAGGCATACTTAGGATTTAGCTTTTTAACTAGCCTTTAATCTCGCCATCATAACTAGGATGAGAAGATGAAATATGATCGGTGGCAATATTAATGAATTAGAGTCAACTTTAAAGAAGAGTAGACATTTTTATCTATATATCAATAGAAGGTCACTATCCAACGAGTTACCAATATACCAATATTACAAAGAAAACTAAAATAGTGGTAGATTTCATGTTCCTAAACTGTTCATCCACACCCATTTGCACTATAGATCGGAATTGTTGATTCTTTTGTCTTTTTGATTT